CTTGATAGTGAAATCATACCTATTTTTCTTGACATTTTGTTTTCTTTCTGCTTTCTTGAGATTTAAGATACATGTTTGGCTGAGTTCATTGTGTCCCCTTCTGTGACTGTTAATTATTCTAACCAAATTACTTGTTAATGATACAAGATTTCCATTACTTTCAAGTCCCAACAAATTCACCCTTATTTCTGCTTTGTTGTCACGAGGGATTCAGAAGAATTAACACACCCATGAGTAATAAATGATTTTTACCTTTCACTTTCCAAAGGAAATCTTTCATCACTAAATAATTTCCACATGTAGAGTTGAGTTTTGCTACCGCATTTCACACACGGGGATCTGTGTGTGCTTCACGGTGCTTTGACTTCTAAAAGCAATTCTGAGAGAATAGCAGATTTTTTTAAACATGCCAACCACCGTCTTTAAAAATACAAATGTAAAATGAACTGCTTTGTGCAGAGAAGAGTATGTTGAATGTGTTATTGTTCCTGAGACATGCTTCGTTTTATCGTGCAGCCCATTGCAAAATAATGTACTGCCAAAGAGTTCAGTTTAACATAAGCTTTTCCCCTTGCTGCCTTTGAAGAGTTTTATTGTTGTTTTTCTTGTTTTCTTTTGTTTTTGTAGAGACCCAGTCTTGCTGTAGTGCCCAGACTGGTTTTGAATTCCTGGCCTTGAGCGATCCTCCCACCTCAGCTACCCAAGTGCTGAGATTACAGGTGTGAGTCATCGCACCCAGCCTAAAGAATGATTTTAAATTACAAAAGTAATACATGTTCTTTATACAGAGTTCAAATAGTATAGAAACATATAAAGTAAAAAGTGAAGGGAAGGTCCAATTCTCCTCCCCTCCAAGAAGGCGTCACCCTCGATGGTTGTCTGTCATGGCACTGAAAGGCTTTCATTGTCTCCTCCCTGTATTCACCTTTCCATCTCCATCGAACTTTGCTTGTCCTCTGTTCATCTTTTTTTTTTTTTTTTGAGACAGAGCCTTGTCTGTCGCCCAGGCTGGAGTGCAATGGCACCATCTCGGCTCATTGCAACCTCTACCTCTCAGATTCAAGCGGTTGTCCTGCTTCAGCCTCCCGAGTAGCTGGGATTACAGGTGTGCACTACCATGCCTGGCTAATGTTTGCATTTTCAGTGGAGCCAGGGTTTTACCACATTGGCCAGGCTGGTCTCAAACTCCTGACCTCAAATTATCTGTGCACCTCAGTCTCCCAAAGTGCTGGGATTATAGGTGTGAGCCACCACGCCCAGCCGTCCTCTGTCCATCTTACATAATCAGCTCATTAAGTATTTTGACTAAAGTAGAAACTGCAGTTATGTATTTCTGAGCGTTTCTATTATTTTATCAGGAAGAGGCAAACAAAGATTATAGACAAAGCAACACAACTGAGTTTGAACACTCCAGTTTTGACGAGGCTGAAATTTCTCACAGTGAGACTGAACATCTCCCAGCCAGGGATTCTCCTTCACTTAGTGAAAATCTCACAACTGATGAAGATGACAGTGAGTATGAGGACTGTCCAGAGGAGGAGGAAGATGACTGGCAGACATGCTCAGAAGAAGATGGTCCCGAGGAAGAGGACTGTGGCCAGGACTGGAAGGAAAGCTCTGCTGCAGATTCTGAGGCTCAGAGCAGGAAAACCCCACAGAAGAGGCAGATACACAATTTTAGCCATCTAGTATCCAAACAGGAGTTACTAGAGCTCTTTAAGGAACTACATACCGGGAGAAAGGTGAAAGATGGGCAACTTACGATCGGACTGGTAAGATGATATATGTCATAACATTGTTGCCACATGATTGTCTTTAATCCCCATTTTTTCAGTAGCTACACGACCCCAGAGACTAACCAGGCTTCCAGCATCATCGGGACCATTGCCCTCTTGTTGCCTACTGGCATCATGGGATTAGGCAGTAGGATAGACAGAGCCCAACTCAAAGGAATCGACTTCCTCAAGGCTTATATTGTAACATACCTATTCACATTAAATGTATTCTCCAGTCTCCTTTCAGTTCAGCTTTTTCTGCCGTGTGAAGTACCGAGGCAGCAGAATGAGAGAGATGTTAAGGTTGTCTTCAGACTTCAGCCCAGTATTCTTTGGGCACCCTGTGATCCTTGCCAGCTTACACTGTAAATGTTCAGATGCTTAATAGGGAGAACCCCAGCATCTTGGTGCTGGACAAAATATGACAAATGCATTGGTTGCATAAACACTGCATAGTAGATAGGGGAAAGTAGATCACATCCCCAGCTTTATATACCCTAATTCCAGAAGTGGCTGGCTGCGGAAGTGCGCAAACCCCGAGGGGCTACAGCATGGCTCTAGATGGCCCCATCCTTAGCTGAGGAGGAGATGTGAGATGTTAGAGAAGGTATTTATTATACAGATCTATCCAGAATATAACAGTGAGGGAAAGTAGATCGTGGCACGTTTAACGTCTTCTAGCTTTTCAGTTACATGCTCAATATAGCTAATCCTAATTAGTTTTGAGCCCCCTTCTCTCCTGCCCCAACCCCCTGCCCCAAAATGCCTGTTTACAATGACTGAAGTAGATGAGCATCTTATTTCAGTGTAGTTAAAAGAGCTGTCTGTGGAATCAGACAGACCTAGGTGTAATTCCCAATTCAGCACTAGAACTAACTTGTTAGGAACACGGGGAAAGTTGCTTGTAATGCCTCTGAGCTTTAAAGCTTCATTCTCTATATTGTTGCCAAAAATTTGTATCAGAAAGTTCAGCTTCTCTACATGTTTTCTCACATTTATGGAAAAACTGAGCATCCTCCCTCATTTTCTGAATTTCTTACTCTAGAAATTCTGCAAACACTTATTGATCACCTGCCACATGCCAGACATTCTGCTTGGCTTTAACTAAAAATGACTGAAAATTAAAAATAATTGTGTGTTGTGATTATTCAAATGTCCATCCGCTCAGCCTCACCCAGTGTGGAAGATGTGATGGAAACCGCTGTCTGTAGATGGGGCAGTGAGGGAAGGCTGGGGACAAGGGGATGAAATTTTCTGTAGCATCTGCTGTTAACAGCAAAACCTATAAAATTAAAATGTACATAGCCTGACCATTTGTCACTGGAGACATGTCTGAATAAATATACCCACACCACAGGAGAAAAAAGATGTCTCAGCAAATATAGAGCGCATGGATTTCAAGTAATTTTCAAAGTAACCAGACGCTTAATGCTAGTCTTGCCATCATCTTATGTCATATCTTTGAGTCTTTTGACAGATGTACTGTTTTACTATTTGGTAACTTCTGAGTCTCTTCTAGGTGGGCTACCCTAATGTTGGTAAGAGTTCAACAATCAATACCATCATGGGCAACAAGAAAGTATCTGTGTCTGCCACACCTGGTCACACGAAGCACTTTCAGGTATTTTTGTGGTTCCTTGCCACTCGCATGCAGCTGTTTCTTCCTTTCATCTGTTGTATACCCAGCTCAAAACTCTTACTTGTCTTCCAGACTCTCTACGTGGAGCCTGGTCTCTGCCTGTGTGACTGTCCTGGCTTGGTGATGCCGTCTTTCGTGTCTACCAAGGCGGAAATGACTTGCAGTGGAATCCTCCCAATTGATCAGATGAGAGATCATGTTCCACCTGTATCATTAATATCCTTTTTGCTTTGGAAACACTCTAGGTATTACGTGCATATTAGGGCTTCAGGTTTATTGTGGGCATTTGAGGGATTCCAATTTGATGAAGAATTTAAAATACTAGTGATCTGCACAAGTTTAGACTGTGAGATAGCATGAGAACTTCCGAATCGGAACCTCATTTCCTGATTTCCACAGTGTAGCCTTGAAGAAATGGGAGAATCCAGGTTTCAGACACTCGGTTCCAAGTTGCAAACCTATTTAACAATGCCATGTAACCATTTGAGTGACCTTGGAAAACTAGCTTAACCTTCCCAAATACTTCCCTTTTCTCTAAGTAGGGGAAAAGCTGTCTCACGGTTGATTATATTTAATCAGTATAGCTAACATATATTGAATACTTGCTATGTGCTTTTCTAAACCCTAACCAAATATCTTTTAATCCTCAAAAAGCAACCCTTAGGCAGATACTGCTGTTATTCCCATTTCCTCAAACTTGAGGAGACTGAGGCACAGAGAAGTTAAATAATTTATCTAAGCTCTTACAGCTAGTAAGCAGTAAATTAGGAACTCTGCTACTTCTCAGCAGTATAACGAATTAACTTACAGAAAGCATCTAGGACAGCACCCGGCATGAAAAAAGGACTCAAAGATGGATTTGTTAAGAACTATGCAGGGGCTAGGTGTGGTAGTTCATGCCTGTAACCCCAACACTTTGGGAGGTTGTGGTGGGCGGATCACTTGAGGCCAGGTGTTTGAGACCAGCCTGGCCAACATGGCAAAACCCTGTCTACTAAAAATACAAAAATTAGCTGGGTATGGTGGTGCACACCTATAGTCCCAGCTACTCGGGAGGCTGAAGCACGAGAATCTCTTGAGTCTTGGGACTCAAGAATCTCGGGAGGCGGAGGTTGCAGTGAGCTGAGATGGTGCCACTGCTCTCCAGCTTGAGCGCCAAAGCGAGACTCCTGAAGAAAAAAGAAAATGAAAGGAAAAAAAAACTGCGCAAGGTCTGCGATTTTACTGTACTTACAAGCTAACAAGTTAGTCTGTTACTGTTTTGTAGATACTAGCAGAAAACAGGAGACTTCATGAAACTGGCACACTGATCTGCTGGCTTGTAAGTAGGGTAAAATTTCCTTCATAACTACACTTAAGGCCACAGCTTATTCATAGATACATATATATGACAAAGCATATAGCTTTTTTTAATTTTGAGATGGAGTCTCACTCTGTCACCCAGGCTAGAGTGTAGTGGTGCAATCTCGGCTCTCTGCAACCTCCACCTCCTGGGTTCAAGCAATTCTCCTGCCTCAGCCTCCAGAGTAGCTGGGATTACAGGTGTGCACCACCATGCCCAGTTAATTTTGTTGTTGTTGTTCAGTAGAGATGGGGTTTCACCATGTTGACCAGGCTCCTCTCAAACTCTTGACCTCAAATAATCTGCCTGCCTTGACCTCCCAAAGTGCTGGGATTACAGGCGTGAGCCCGGCCTTTTAAGTTTCTCAGTAAATTAATAGTGAGACATGAATTATTTATTGCAGGTAGCCTTAGGTTAGGTACTGTGGAAGATAGGGCATAAATAGAGATGGCTACTGCCCTATACAAAGCATCAATCTGTTGGGGACACGTGAGGTATGTACGTGAATAACTGTAGTACAAGTAGAATATTGTTAGTGGCTTAAGGAAAATTCAGACAAACTATGAGAGATTAGACAAAGGAGGAAAAGTAATCCTGCATAATTGTAGACATTAGAAACAGAGACTCCCCTTGCTTTATCTCTACATTAGAATCGCAAATGCATAATCTACTTTTCAGGGTAAAAATGTGTCATCTTTAAAGTCAGTTTCAGAGATATTTTAAATTATTATTTTAAAAGAATTCATATGGAAGAGTCGTGGGAGCTTAAGGCCTTGTTTAAAAGGAAAAAAAAAGCAACTGAGTCTTTTAAAATTAATCGATAACTATACTCTTCCTTTGGAGAGGAGAAAGTGTTCGTCATACAAGTGATTAAGTGCCATGCTCTTAGAGGCACGTTTCGTGTGCCTTGGGGAGGAGGGAGTCAGTTCAAGAGAGTGGATTCCCTGACAAGCTACGTTTGCCAGAATATTCCAAGACATGTTTTAGAAGCTACCTATGGCATTAACATCATAAAGCCTAGAGAAGATGAAGATCCCCACCGACCTCCAACATCAGAAGAGCTGTTAACAGCTTATGGATGTAAGTTGGGATTCATTAGAAAACGTGAACAAAAATAACAGTATAGCTAATGAATAGAAATAAGAATAGTAATAGTACTAGAAATGTTATTCTGCAAAGATATAAATTTATCATATTTCTTTAGCATTTTTCAAGTCATCTTCCAGGGTTAACGTTTTTGTCTCTGCGGGCCTTGCCTACAAAGTAACCTACAGTGCAAAAAGCTTTCAGGACATTTGCTGCTTTGATCGTACCCACGTGCAGGCACAGGGGTTCTCATCGGAGGCTGTGTTGGCTCTTTCTGGAGTCTTCTCCCAAACAAGAAGAAAGGGGATGTGTGGAAGAAAATGAATACGCGCACCACAGCGAGGCAGGAGAGTTGGGAGGGGAGCACCAGAAGGGAGACCCCTCAGAGACAGGGACAGAGTGGAGCTTGGTTAGGACAGGGGCACAAAGCACCCTCCTTCCTCTCCCATCAGCCCCTGTAAACTTACTTGACATGAAAATGAGACCACAGCTCTCCCACCTTCATGTTTTATCCCAATTCCACATGAGGACCTATGATTTCTTGCCTTCAATGTAAACTTTAAAGGTGGCCTGGAGAACCTTGTGTCTACCTAAAAAAAAAAAAAAAAAAGAATAGCAGCGTGAGAAGCATTTCTGTGCGTGTGTGGCTTGCCTTGAAAGGGATTGCCACTGGCTGGGAAGTTCAGCTTATTCGAGTATTTACTGGCAGAGAAAGGTGGAAGGTGATTTGATAGGAATCACACTTAAATCAAACCTTGAACTTAGAGACTCTAAAGAGGATAAATACTAAACACTTGTGTAAGACTATTCTAATTACAGAGTCATAGAACAAGAAAAGACCTTAAAGATTACCTCACCTCCTAGCCCCTGCTTTTAAGAAGTAGAATCTGAACCCAGAGCCCAAGCTGACCCAAGGTGAGGTGGCTGGTCAGTGGAATAGCCTGGGTGAGATCTCCCTCTAGGATGTTAGCCTGGAAAATGCAGAAAGGTGGACTTCCACCAAACTTTCAGTTTGATTGTACTTCCGATAAAACTGAAAATAATGTGAGTCTTTTAAGATGTTTCATCTAATGCTGCCTGATAAAATCAGAGTAAAGAAAAAGCCAGTCTGTAAAAACAAATGACCACACGTACAATTGCTAAGTTCACTATCTGCAAGTCCATATAAAAGAAAATCTCGACAGTAAATGTTCAAAGATATTGCCAGATTACTCTCATTTGACTTTGTATTTCTTTAAATACTAGTGAAGTTGAGCATCTTTCCAAATGTTTTGTGACTATTTATATTTCTTCTGAGAATCACATTTTCCTATACATGGTTCTGTCTTAATGATTTGTAGAAGTTCTTTGTTATATGTGCTACACATTTTTTTCCAACATTAATTATGGTTTCTTTGGCCCCCAAAGAAGTTGACAATTTTAACAGACTATATTTTTCCTTTTTGATTTGACTGGGTTTGGTGTTTTACTTGGGAAGGTCTTCTCCATCCCAAAAAGATAAAACTATCTTCCTGTAATTTTTTTTTAACATTTAGATTTTTAATCTGCCTAAATTTATTTTTGTATATTGTGTGAATTAGGATTGTAACTGTTTTCTTCTAAACTGGAAAAGCCAGTCGACAGCTAGTATGTGAGGGGGCTGAGTTTGGAACACAGCCTGTCTGCTGAAGCCATGTTCTTAAAACTGTGTTTTGCTGCCTTCTGACTGAGTTAGTATTAAAGGGATCTTACTGGGGGAAAAATGTGGGTACATCATTCAATAAGAAAACTTCATCTGTTGCTTTCTGTTTTGCAAGTAGTATTGACAGTGTAGCATTCTCCTACAGGTAGCCTCCATGAATAAATGTTTAAAATAAAGAGGCCAGGCGTGGTGGCTCACGCCTGTAATCCCAGCACTTTGGGAGGCCGAGGCGGGCAGATCACCTGAGGTCAGGAAATCAAGACTAGCCTGACCAACATGGTGAAACCCCGTCTCTACCAAAAATACAAAAATTAGCTGGGCATGGTGGCGTGCGCCTGTAATCCCAGCTCCTCAGGAGTCTGAGGCACCAGAATCGCTTGAACCCGGGAGGTGGAGGTTGCAGTGAGCCAAGATTGTGACACTGCACTCCAGCCTGGACAACAGAACGAGGCTCTGTCTCAACAAAAAAATAAAGAGGTAGAAGAAATAACTGGAGTAGAGAGAAATCAAATTTGTCTTTCATAGCATGGTGGTAGGTGATTGTTAAGATATCAGATATAAGTAAATATTCTCCTGGATGATCTAGTGTTTTTAATGCTAAACAATATATATTCTACAATGATACCTAATTTTTTTAAAGCTAGGAGTAAGAATGTATAGTTAGTAATAGAAGCTACATCACCTCAGTTGTCTTTGTTGTGATATTCTGTCATCTAAGATTTTGCAAAATTCTTTTCTCTTCACAGATATGCGGGGATTCATGACAGCGCATGGCCAGCCAGACCAGCCTCGATCTGCGCGCTACATCCTGAAGGACTATGTCAATGTAAGTGCACCCCGCCTCTCATGCTCTCCGATACGCACGTCTTTTCCCCAGTCTGTGTTCTTAGAGAATGGCAACCTGTTCGATCATAAAGGAAATACACTGAAACTGGAGTTTGATCTTGATGTAGGGTAGTTAACATTAAATGGATTATAGAGATTACAAAAGATGGAGCTCTCTGAACACCTATTATGAGTGAAAATCACCAATTTATGCATCTGGTTTTTTCGTCTCCTACAGCCCTTTGCTTGTTATGATTGCAACTACTGTCACAGTCTTCTTCGTAGTATAGCTGTTTATATGCCTATCTCTGTATTTGTGTAGTAACGATAATAACAGCTAACATTTTTTCAAAGCTAACCCTGCTAGAAATAGTTCTGTTGTACATGCGTCTTCTCAGTAAAAATACGTAACAAGTCTGAGATTATTATGTCTCCTTTTCAAATGAGAACATGCTATTTGGGGGTTTCCCCATAGTAAAATGGAGATGAACAGGGCCTATCTCATGAGATTATTATGGGAAATAAATGAAAACTCTCTGTGTGTTTGTGTGTGTGTGTGTGTGTGTGTGTGTGTGTGTGTGTAGCACTAAGCTCAATGCCTGGCACATAATGAGCCCCCGATAATTGTTGTCAAGTTTCTTTCCACAAATAAGCATTACAGGGCCCTGTTAATAACCAGTTGTGAGGATTTGGCTTTATTTCCTCCCCTTCTCAAGACCACATCAGTGGAGCTCTTGGAGCATAGTGGCAACCATATGGGCTTTGCCTTCAGTTCAGGAAGAAAGCAGTTCATACTATTGGTATGGATAAGTCATGTATTCATTTACCACTTACTATGGAGGATGTCAAGATGAGGTAAAAATTGTCACAGGCTTCAGATCATTTATGATGGAAAGAGGCAGACTTGCCCCCAGTGAGCAACCCCAACTACAGGAGTCGAGGAACTCTCCTGACTGTAACAGTCTACCCGGCATTACTGCGAACTCTCCCGACTGCAACAGTCTACCCGGCATTGCCGCGAACTCTCCGGACTCTAACAGTCTACCCGGCATTACCGCGAACTCTCCCAACTATAACAGTCTACCCGGCATTACCGCGAACTCTCCCGACTGTAACAGTCTACCCGGCATTACCGCGAACTCTCCCGACTGTAACAGTCTACCCGGCATTACCGCGAACTCTCCCGACTCTAACAGGCTACCCGGCATTACCGCGAACTCTCCCGACAGTAACCGTCTACGCGGCATTACCGCGAACTCTCCCAACTGTAACAGTCTACCCGGCATTACCATGAGTCATATCAGCCCAGTTGTGTCTTGAGTTTTGTTTTGGAAAATATTCACCGTAAGTATAACCATGTCAGTATGCTGAAGAATACTTAAGTGGGAATGCAAACGAGAAAAGAAGAAAGAAATTTCATCCTAGTCTGGGGCACCATGGGAAGAGGTAGGTCTTTAGAACACTTTGACCATTGATGTGTTAGAAAAAGGACTCTTCAGCTGCAGTAGACCAAAGCTCAACTCAGCTAACGTAACCAGAAGGCGGAGAGCTCCATCGGAGTGTGACTGGGTGGGGATGTCTCCTCTGAGGCCACAGATGGCTCTTAGGATGCACTGTCGTCATTCATGCTGTCTTTGCAGGGTAAGCTGCTGTACTGCCATCCTCCTCCTGGAAGAGATCCTGTAACTTTTCAGCATCAACACCAGCGACTCCTAGAGAACAAAACAAATGGTGATGAAATAAAAATGCAGCCAGGCAGAAATAAAAAAGTAAAGCAGATTGAAAATATCGTTGACAAAACTTTTTTCCATCAAGTAAGTTTTAAAACTTTTCTTAAACTTCTGATCCAACACTCTTTATAACAGCTTTATTGAGTATCACATGCCATAAACACATTTTAATAACCCCAAAAAGGGTTTAATAACCCCCAAAAGAAACCTTATTTATTAGCAGTTACTCCCTGTTCCCCTTTTCCCCCAGCCCATGCCAACCGATAATCAATCTTTATGTATAGATTTGCCCGTTCTAGACGTTTCATGTGACTGGAATCATACGGTGTGCTCTTTGCGACAGGCTTCTTGCACTTAGTGTGGTGTCTTAGAGATCCATCCATGTTGTGCGTGTGTCAGTGTTCCACTCCTTTTTATTACCGAATGGCGTTGTAGTGTATAGCTGCGCCACGTTGTATCTGTTTATCATCTGATGGACGTTTGGGTTGTTTCCACTTTTTGGCTACTGTGAATAATGGTGTAATGAACACTTGGTGCACAAGTTTTTGTGGAGACACGGATTTCATCTCTCCTGAGTATATACCTAGGCGTGGGCTTGCTGGGTCAGACTGTAACTGCGTGTTTAACATTGGAGGTATTGCCAGACTCTCCGAAAGTGGCTGTGCTGTTTTACGTTACACCCGTGACGTGTGAGGTTTCTCATTTTCTCCTCATCCTTGTCAACGTCTATTATTTCCGGTCTTTTTCTATTTTAGCCATCCTAATACCTGGGAAGTGTATTGCATTGTAGTTTTGATTGGTATTTCCCTAATGACCGGTGGTGCTGAGCATCTTCTGTGCTCATTGCCACATGTCTATTTTCTGTAGAGAAATGTCTGTTATTAAGTTGTAAGAGTTCTTTATGTATTCTGGATACCAGTCCCTTATCAGATTTATGATTTACAAATATTTGCACCCATTTAGTCAGTTGTCTTTTCTCTGAGCCAACACACTTGGTCATAGAAAGTGCTAAAGAAACAGACTTCAAAAATGTCTTCTGCACTTTAAAATATTGATAACTTTAGTTGCTTATGTCACAGCTACAATTTGTAGGCAGTATTTTAAAGGTCAAATCTACATGCAAAAGAGGTAAATCATATAGTTGTACCCAATGTAGTTTAAAAATGTTTTTAAGTGACTACTATAGCGAAAACAGGACAGGGGTTAGGAGGGGGTGATCAGCTGTACCCAGAGAATGTTTTTGTATTCATCCCATGCTTTATCTGCTGCCCCACACGATGAGCCTGTGATGCAGGCCACGCAAATATTGTTCCCTGAGGACACTGGCGCTGGAGAGACTGAGTTACCCAAGGGCGCTCGCTTTAAATTGCAAAGCTGGGGCAAAACTTAGATATTTGTAGCTCCTAGTTTGAATTATTTCCTAGTTGGTACGTACCAGTATTTGGAATAAAATTTACCAATATGCAAAAAGATGACAAGTTTCCTCTTGGGCCTACAGCTGTCATACAGAACATTTAATTTGAAATTTTAAATGTTTACAGGTTTCTAAAGGCTGTGTACAAGAAGGCTGAAAACTTGTCATAATTTCAATAAAATTCATATGTCTCAACTGTAGCCTCTAGGGTAATATTTTACTATTATAAGTAACTTGCAAATCATAGTGTACTAATTTTTTTTTTACTAAGTAAACTTAAAACTTGTTTAGAGTCCATTTCTAATGTGGTTGAAGCAGGTTAACTTTTGATATTAAGACGAATTTCCAGGCCGGGCGCGGTGGCTCACGCCTGTAATCCCAGCACTTTGGGAGGCCGAGGCGGGCGGATCACAAGGTCAGGCGATCGAGACCATCCTGGCTAACACAGTGAAACCCCATCTCTACCAAAAATACAAAAAAAAAATTAGCCAGGTGCAGTGGCGAGCGCCTGTAGTCCCAGCTACTCGGGAGGCTGAGGCAGGAGAATGGCGTGAACCCGGGAGGCGGAGCTTGCAGTGAGCCGAGATTGCGCCACTGCACTCCAGCCTGGGCGACAGAGCGAGACTCCGTCTCACAAAAAAAAAAGACGAATTTCCAGAAAACAGCTGGTATTGAGTCTAGTTGTAGATGGCATTTGAAAGTATGGGACTAAACAAAGTTGAAGAGGGAATAAGGAGGGAGAAGAGATGAAATGAAGACAGAATGCTGGTGGGAGAAAGAGGACCAGTGAAAGGGAGGGAGGGAGGAATTTACTGAGTGACTGACTCCTTTTTATCTTGAAGTGATCCACTGACAGTACTGTGCATATCCCTTAAAGGACAGCCTGCTGACATCTCAGATAATGTTTTCTCTTATTTCCTAGGAGAATGTGAGGGCTTTGACCAAAGGAGTCCAGGCTGTGATGGGTTACAAGCCTGGGAGTGGTGTAGTGACTGCAGCCACTGTGAGCTCTGAGAATGGGGCGGGGAAGCCCTGGAAAAAACATGGCAACAGAAATAAAAAAGAAAAAAGTCGCAGACTCTACAAGCACCTGGATCTGTGAGGTTGGGCTGCATTGTGCAGATGGAAAAGAGCAGAAACTGCCTGTTGCCTGTGGAACTGTCACAAGACACTGGCACTGTAGAACAGGCCCTGCTCTTGCGGGGCACAGCTGCACCCAGCAGTCTCCGTGTCAAGACTGAGGGCCTCCTGGAAACACCAGCTCTGATGACAAGGAGTCACCTGGGAGCCCTAGAAACCTCCTCCTGGCCAGGCGCAGTGGCTCATGCACCAACACGGTGAAACCCCATCTGTACTACAAATACAAAACAATTAGCCGGGCGAGGTGGGGGACACGTGTAGTCCCATCTACTCAGGAGGCTGAGGCAGGAGAATCGCTTAAACCTGGGAGGCAGAGTTTGCAGTGAATGGAGATCGCGCCACTGCACTCCAGCCTGGGCAACAGAGTGAGACTATATCACAAGAAAAAGAATTGCAAGGGATGGTTCATGAGACACATTTGGGACAAAGGTGAAACAGAAACTCCCCATTGTGGGTGTCCTAGTTGGGTTCCTCCGACTCTAAACCAGGGACTTGGGTTCGGTTAGTGCGCAGCGGGGGCTCACTTCCACTGAGGAACATGTAGAATGTAGTCACCGGGTGACAGGGAAGCTGTGGTATTTACTACCTAGCCCCCATCTTCTCTGGCTATTCCACTTATTTAAAATGTCCAGAATAAGCAAATCTCCATATAGAGAAAGTAGACTCGTGGTTGCTCAGGGATGGGAGGAATGGGAAGATTGAGGCCTTCCTTTTGCAGTGATAAAAATATCCTAAAATTGATTGTAGCAATGGTCACACAACTCTGTGAATATGCTTAAGACCATTGAATTACACACTTTACATTGGTGAATTGTATGGTATGTAAATTAAATAACATAGTTACGAAATATAATCAAAAGCATGAGAGCACTCTTGATATGGTTTGGATCTGTGTCCTCCCCAAGTCTCCTGTGGAAATGTAAGCCCCCCGGTGGGAGGTGGGGCCTGGTGGGAGGTGATTGGATTTTGGGGCGGAGTCCTCACAAATAGTTTAGCACCACCCCCTCGGTGCTGTTCTCCGTGATATTGAGTCTTCGTCACATCTGATTGCTTTGAAGTGTGTGGCACCTCCCCTCTGTCTCCCTTCTGCTCTGGCCATATTAGATGTGCCTGCTTCTCCTTCGCCTTCTAATATGATTGTAAGTTTCCTGAGGTCTCCCTAGAAGTAAAAGCTGCTGTGCTTCCTATACAATCTATAGGACAGTGAGCCAATTAAACATCTTTTCTTTATAAATTACCGTCTCTGGTATTTCTGTTTTTCTTTTTTTATGAGATAGAGTCTCACTCTGTCGCCCAGGCTGGAGTGCAGTCGTGTGATCTCGGCTCACTAGAACCTCCCTCTCCCAGATTCAAGCAACGTGCCCTCCCGGAAGAGAAAGCTGTTGAGCTGCTGGCCTGTCTCCCCCAGGTGGCTGGGATTTACGGTCACCATTGGCTGCCCACTCCCGTAGGGCCGCCCAGGCCGCTGCAGCCCTTCCTTCAGAAGGACGGTGCCTGAGGTCCTGCCACCTCTGCCAACAGGAAATGCCTTTGAGCAGTCACATCACTGCCTAGCATCCAGGAGGACAAGTGCTCTGGTCCTCTTATTAGTTTTTCTTTTTGGCTAACTCTGAACCATGGCCAAAAACGTTATCTTTAGCTCCTGGGCAGCTGCTGGACCTCTGAGGAGCCTGGTTAAGGAACTGATGCATTTCCTGAGGGCCGACCACGTGCAGAGCCCTGTGGAAAGTACAGGGAGAACTGGGCAGGGTTCTGATGACCCGGAGTGAGGTGGTTAGAAAATACCGTCCAAAGTGTTCACTGCAGGATGAAGTCCCGACTCCCTCGCGACTGACCGCTGACCGTCTCGCCTCCCTGCTGTGGGTGTGCCCTGCCTCTGCTATTTGCCTTTCTCCCTATACCATCTCTTGCCGCTTCCAAGGGCCTCTGCAGAGCTGCGGCCATGGCCTTGTTGCCAAAAGCAAACATTCTCCAGCGTTATTTATTGAAAACCTTCCCCCACACACGCCCGCCCACAATGCGAGGTGTCGTCAATGTACTTTAAGCATGCCCCTACTGTAGTGCGTGTCATATTTTTATGGCTTGTTTAAAAATCAGCATATCTGGCCAGGCATGGTGGCTTACACCTGTAATCCTAGCACTTTGGGAGGCCGAGGTGGGTGGATCACTTGAGGTCAGGAGTTCAAGACCAGCCTGGCCAACATGATGTAACCCCGTCTCTACTTTTTAATGGCCAAAAAAAGTAGCTTACTTTTAATGGCCAAAACCGCAATTACTTTTGCACCAAAGTACTTTTATTTGTTGTTTTTTGTTTTTTTTGAGACAGAGTCTTGCTCTGTTGCCCAGGCTGGAGTGTAGTGACGTGATCTCAGCT